TAAACATCATCAATGTACAACTCATTCCAAAGTCTACGTTACTGTGGTGATTGCTGTACTGGGTACAGTGATATGAACGATTAATATCTCGGGAGAAGGTGGACCTGTATTTTTTCACTCTAGAATTGTTATAGGAAATAAATGATCACTGAACAGTTTAATCCAGCGGCTACAGTGCAATATTGTTGGTTGTTGTAAGCACCGTACTGTCAGTTGGAAACATCTCAAGCCATAACAGTAATATTAATTGATTATTGCACAATTTCTTTGTAATTATTACCACAAGTGAGCAAATTAGTCCTTCGGCTACATCACTGTGATGACGGCTGTGCTCAGCGTTATGTTGTCAATTCTAAATATCGCTAAGGATAATGGATTTGCATTTAGTCATTCCACATTTGTGATAGAACCTTAATCATCATTGAACTGATTAATCTATCTGCTGCAGTGCTCTATTGGTGGATGTACGTTGTACCGTACATTGACTGGTAAATATCTCTAACCACAACCATGCTATACGCCGACAATTCTAGCAGTGCTATGGAATATGTATTGTCTGTGGACAACGTTATTCAACCGTTTCTATACTGTGACGATAGCTGTACTCGGTAGTGCGTTGTTAACTGTTGTTGTCTCGACGGATAGCGGGCCTGTATTTTGTATGTCTAAAATTGCTATAGAATATATATCGTCATTGAACAGTATAATCCAACGGATAGAGAGCTGTATTGGTGGACGTAATGAGTACCCTGCTGTCAATTGGAAATGACAAAAGGCATAACCGTGACTTGCGCTGTCTATTCCAGAATTTCTTTGGAACTTACATCAACAGTGAACGTAGTCATTGAACGGCAACGGTACTGTGCTAATGGCCGTACTCAGTACTGTGTTATCGTTTGTTAATATCTGCAGGGATAGTGGATCGTCATATCTTGCTCTAGAATTGCTGTGGAATATACATCGTCAGTGAATAGATTAATACAAGGAAAACTGTGACCTGTTGGTAGACGTAACAAATGCCGTACTGTCAATTGTAAATGTCACTAGCAATAACCGCACTATACATTGGCTATTCTAGAATCACATTGGAATTTACCTTATCTGTGAATAAAGTAGTCCAGCTGTCACATTACTGTGATGGTTTGTGTACTCACTACTGTGTTGTAGATTGCGAATATCTCGAGGGACAGTGGATCAGTATTGTGTCCTTCTAGAATTCTTGTAGAAATTAATACATCATTGAACAGAACAATCCAACGGCTACTACGCTATATTGGTGGATGTAGATGGCACTGCAATATCAACTGGAAATCTCTCAAGCCATAACCGTAACATACGTTGGTTATTCCAGTATTCCTGTAGAAATTACATGCAAAGTGGGCATAGTTATTGAACTGCTGCAATACCGTGGTAATGTCAGCTCTATGTACTGTGTTGCCATTTGCGAATATCTCGGGCGTTACAGGATACGCATTTTAAATCCTTTAACTGCTGTATGATGTACATTATCAGTGAAGAGATTAATCCAACCGCAACAGTGCTTCGTTGGAGGATGTACTTATTGCCGTATTGTCAGTTGTAAATATCACTAGCCATAACCGCACCATACATAGGTTATTATAGGATCACTTTCGAACTTAAATAGTCAGCGACCAAAGCAGCCCCACGGCTACATTAGTGCGATGACGGCTGCAATCTTTACTGTGTCGACAATTGTCAATATATCGTTTGTCAGTGGATCTGTACTTCGTCATTCGAGAATTGTTATAGAATTTATATCATCACTGAACAGACTAATCTAACGGCCACCGTGCTATACTTGTGAATGTAATAAGTACAACAATGACAGTTGAAAACATCTCGAGCCACAACTGCAATATACATTGGGTAATCCATAACTGCCTTCGAATTTACGTCGTCAGTGTGCATAGTGTTCCTAAGGCTGCTTTACTGTGATGACGGCTCTACACATTACTGTGTCGCCAACAGTTGAAGCCTCGGGGGGATGTGCATCTGTATCTTGCAATTCTAGAAATGCTATGAAAACGAAATCATCAGAGAACAGGTCGATACAGCGGCTGCAGTGATTTGCTGGTGGATGAACTAAGTACAGTAACGTCAATTGCAAATATCTCTAGCAACAATCGTAGTATGCATTTATTCTTGTGTTATAGCTTGGAACTGAAATTTTAAGGGAAAAATTTTATTCAACAGTACCGCCACTGTGATGATATCTGTACTTAGTAATTTGTTGTCAACTCTTAATATCTCTAACGATAATGTATCTGCCTTTGACATTCTAGAATTGGTATAAGAACGAACTCATGAGAGAACATATAAATACAGGGGCAGTAATGCTTTGTTGGTGGATGTATTAATTACAGTACTCCCAATTACAAGTACCTTTTGCTGTGACCGCAGTATGCATTGATTACCCTAGAACAGCTTGGAACAAACGATATCAGTGAACAATGTTATTCAACTGTTACACTACTGTGCCGATGGCTGTACTGAGCACCGTGTCGTCAATTGTTAATATCTCGAGTGTCTGTGGCTCCGTATTTTGCCATTGTAGTATTGTTATAGAATCCAATTCGTCACTGAAGAGACAAAATCCAATGACTACAGTGCCATAATTGTGGGTGTAGTATGTACCTCACTGTCAATCGGAAATTTCTCCAGCCATATGATTAATGTACATTGATTATTCTAGAACAGTTTGGAACTTACATTGTCAGTGAAGAAAGTAATTCAGCCGTTACACGACGGTGATGATGGCTGTTCTCAGTACCGTGCTATCAATTGTTAATATCTGGGGGGGGGGGGCCAATGGAACTGCATTTCTCGTTCTAGAACTGCCGTGGTATATACATCATCAGTGAACAGATTAATCCAGCGGCAAGTGTGTTCTGACGGTCGACTTGCTTTGCAGAGTGCCGCCATGCCTAAATGTCAATAGCCATAAGAATACTATACATATGTTGCTCTAGTAGTACGATTGGAATTTACATCGTCAGCCAACAAACTAATCCAACGGCTACCGTATTGTGTAGATTCCTGTACTCAGTAATATGAAATCAATAGTTATAATGCCGAGGGATAATGCATGTGTACTTTGTCATTATAGAATTGCTATAGATTCTAAGTGATCGTTGACCAGATTAATCTAACGGCTACGCGCCTTTGATAGTGAATGTGCTAAGTACCGCCCTGTCAACTGGAAGTATGTATAGACGTAATCGAGGTATACCTCGGTTATTCTAGAGTTACTTTAGAATGCACAACATCAGTGATTAAAGTAGCCGAGCAGATTCATTAGCGTGTTGATGGCTGCACTCAGTTCTGTGTTGTCAAATGTTAATTTCGCGAGGGATAATGGATCCGTATTTTGTCATCCTAGAATTGTCATACCATAAATATCATCATGGATCCGATCAATCGTACTGCAACAGTGTTACATTGGAAAATGTGCGTAGTACCGTACCGTCAATTGAAAATATATCAAGCCATAACAGTACTGTGCATTGGTTATACAAGAATTCCTCGGGAATCTACGTCGTCAGTGAACATAGTTTTCCAACGTCTGGAGTCCAGTGACGATGGTAGCCCTCAGTACTGTGTTGTCAATAGTTAACATATCGAGGGATATTGGATATGCCTTTTGTCATTCCAGATTAGCTGTAGGATCTAAATCAACACCCGACCGATTAATAGAGCAAATCTCTGCCGGTTGATGTACTAGTTGCCGCGCTGTGTACTGTAAATACCACTAGCCGTAACCATAGCTTACATAAGCTGTTCCAGAATTACATTCAGGCTTATATCATCAGTGGACAAAGCAGACCAACGTGTATATTACTGTGAGGATGGTTGCATTCAGTACTGTATTGCCAATTGTTACCACCTCTAGGGAAAATGGACCTGCATTTTGTCGTTCTAGAACCGATGTAGAATATAAATCATTACCGAGATGCTTCATCCATTGCCTAAAGTGCTACATTGGTTGAAGTAATATGTACCGTACTGTCAATTGGAAATATCTCAGGCCACAACCGTAGTACACATTGATTATGCTGCAATTGCTATGTGTCTTACGTCATGAGCGAAGAAAGTAGTCCTACGGCTACAGTACTGTAATGATGGCTGTACTCCGTACTGTGATGTCAATTGCTAATATCTCGAGGGATAATGGATATGTCATTTTCGATTCTAGAATTGCTATGGAATCGAAATCGCAATTGAATGTGTTAATACAGCTGCTGTAGTTCTCTGCTGGTGGATTTACTAAGTCAGTACCATCAATTGGATATATCTGAAGCCATGACCGCACTATGAATTCTTTATTCAGGTATCGCTTTCGAATCTACATCATCAGTGTACATAGTAGGCCAATGGATACTGTACTGTGATGATAGCTGTACGCAGAAATGTGTTGTCAATTGCTAATATCTCGAGGGATAGTGGATCTGCAATTCTTGTTCTAAAGTTGCTGTGGGGTATACATCATCAGTGAACACACCAATCCAACGGCATCAGTGTTCCGTTGGAAGATGTACTAAATGCCGTAGTGACAATTGCAAATATTATTAGCTATAACCGCAATATACATAGGTTGTTCTATAGTCACTGGTAATAAATGAGGTCCGTGAACACAAAATATTCTCGCCTTCCTTAGTAGCATTTATTATTGATATTATTAGGATGAGATTCTCTCATCTACAGCTCTCTATTTCGCCAATAAATTCTGATTTACTAACACATTAATAGGACGTTACATCTTCTACCTGCTACTATTCTTCCAGACACAACAAGCATGAGTGACGTAATGCGCGCCTCGGGGAAGTTTTTCCTACTACTCGAGCTTAGCGGGCATCTCACACTATACACACTTATTTACGTAGCGGTGGCCAAACGTATACATATTTCAACACAACTCCTTAATTTCGACCTCCTTAATTTTACACTCTTATAAAAATTCTTAAACGAGTCATTTTTGCAACTTAAGTTAGTCTTGCAACTCGCCTAAGATTTTCAAACTTATTACATCCTAATGTTTTGGTCAAAATATCGGCTACGGTGCTCTCTGAATCAATCCTTACAATGAGTATTTTTTGATGTTCATAGCATTTATGTAGGAAATGATTATATACTCCATTATATTTCGAGCTTTTTGTTAAATTTCCATATTTCGATATTGCGGTTGCGCCTGAATCATCTTCATTAGTTTTTATTGGCTTTTCAATCTCTACATCAAAACCTATTTGCAGTTTCTTTAAATACTTTAACTCGCTAACTGCTTCTGATAACGGTTCATTTTCAGCAGCTGCGGATGATTTTGTTGCACTGTTTTCTTTTCTCGATATTCAAAATATAACATTTTCAAATACCCCTATTATGTAACCTGTAGTTGGTTTTCTATCTGATCTATATCCACCCCAATCAGCGGCAACAGAGCAATCCATTATCTGAGCATTTAAATTTCATTGACATATTAATTTTCTTTCTCGCCTAAGATAAGGATATTTCAAAACTCTTAAAGCGTATTTCAAATGAGGTTCATCGTAACAATTTTGGAATCGTCTTAAATAATTTTCACTATAGCTAATGTCTATTCCTGTTCCAATAGCAACATACAATAATGCTCCAATGAGATTTCTATATTTAATTTCATTTGACGCCGATTGCGATGTTTCCAGTTTCAAATTTTGCTCCATCGGTGTACTATATAATTTGCTGTTCTCAACCACGAATCTCTTCGCTAAAGACTCAATGTAATGCTTCTGATCGAGTTTTATGACACCTTTTTTAAAATCGTAACCTATGTTTATTCCCACGTAAGATTTCAAGTCACCTGAATTAAAGACTCAATGTAATGCTTCTGACCGAGTTTTATGACACCTTTTTTAAAATCGTAACCTATGATTATTCCCACGTAAGATTTCAAGTCACCTGAACCATTCACTGCAAATATTTTCGACAGTTTAGATTTGATTACCTCAAGCATATCTTTGCTTCTTGCACAAATTAGTTATTCGTCTACAAACAAAATTACCGAAGCATTCATAACTGGATCTAGAGCATTCACGTAATGCACACAATGCTTTTGTCAATTTTTTATTCCTTTCCACTCATATCATCATAACCTACTTGCTGCTTAGCAAACACATCAGGTCTCATATTTCCATTAAGGAGTGCGGTTACCACATCCATTTGTGTTATTGTGAACTCATAATTACAACAGTATGCTAATAGCAATGTTATTGACTGTATTTTTGCCACTGGGGAATGTAGCTCTTCTAGTACCGCATCTTGTTGAAAACCGCAAACAACCAGCCTTGCCTTTTTTCGATCATCAGCCTTATTTGTAAAAACCCATTTTGAATCTGAAATTTTCTTTTTTCCCGGCTTTTCTACCAGGTTCCAAGTTTCGTTTTACCTAAGCTATTTATCTCGCGTTTCATTGCCTCATTCCATAAACCAAATTCATTCCCATTTAACGCTTCGTCATAGGTTCTTGGACTATCTGCACTTAGAAGATTTACATATATACAGTATTATTTAGAGTCGTATCTCTCAGGTTTCTTCGTTTGAAGTACTGATCTTCTCAGTTCTTGCTCAATTTCGCTAAGATTCCCGTCTTCCTTTTTATGTCCGTTAATAACATTTTCATGTTCATTTTCTTTACCACAATTTCAGGAACTTTTTCAGACTCAGTTCCTTCACCAGCGTTCTTTATCTATTCACCATCAGATTCATCTTCTACATTAAAACCTACTAATTTTCCATCTTCTATAATGTCTACGTGCCTAGCAACCATAGGTTTATTACTAGTTAACACAATGTAACCAGTATTTCCGTTTCCTACCAATACCAACATCAGCTTCTCTATCCCACTTGGACCTTCGTCTAATCTTTGGTACCCTTGTAAATATTTTTCACCCATGCAATTTCAAATTTTTAATATTTGGCTTTCCTTTGAAAAATATTTCGATAGGAGTATTAGCTTCCACGGTATTTGTTACAACCCTATTTCTCAGGTATGCGGCAGCTTTTACTATTTCAGGCCAATATCTTGCATTTATTTTCGAACATGGGAGTAAGCATCTGGCGGAGTTCATTATAGTTTTATTGCAGCGCCCAGCTATTGCGTTCAGCTCATGAACATAAGGTGGACAAGGACCTAAGAGAATTCCGTTTTGATGAATTAATTTACGCATTTCATTACTAATATATTCCTTTCCATTACCACACTTTAGTCTTTTTACCTTTGAGCCACTTAAACTTTCAGCCTTGTTTATATGTTCTATAGAGCAACCATAAACTTCATTCCTTGATTTCAATGTATAAATAGCAGTACATTTACCAAAGTCGCCAATGAAAGTTAAGAAATACTTTGATCCATCGTTTACGCTCTATGATGAGGCGTTGCCACATTTTAGGAAAATATGCCCCAAATTTTCTGGCACTCTTTCAACTTATCTTTCTGACACGTCAAATGTAAATAATTAAAATTTACATGACCTGTGATTCGGTGTAATTATACTTTCTGTGTCATCTTTTCAAAGCATTTGGCATAATTTTGGTTACTTTCTATAGAGCAACTGACTTTGTATAAACCATATTCTTTATAAGCAATTCCAATTAATTTTCCACACCTATCATAGATTTTTGAAGTAATACCCATCGATGAAATTTTAATCTCACCTGTTATTCTCGCATCGCAAAGTAAATAATTAACCATTTCCTTTACACAAAATGTATTGGATACATTTATTTTAATTTCTGTCGATAAACTTCAAAATCAGTGACAAGTTTTCCTACTTTTGTCCCTTTTAGTATTCGAACATCTACAATTCTTGAATTTATATGGTCCTTTATTTTAACATTTTCAGAAAAATAAGAGTCGCCATTCACAAAATGTTCCGAACACATACTATACAATAAGCAATCCATTTTTTATGTCTCACGACTACACGCATTCTTATCACTCAGTCATTCATTCTCATTCTCTTCTCGTTGAACTTGTGTCAGAAAGAATCCAATTCCTTGAACGTAGCTTCCGTCGTTGAATGAGGACCTCGCATCGTGTTGTCCCATTCCATCATGATACGAATGCCAACCACTGCCAAGGCCTCTCTGGTTCCTATTAGGTCCTCGTTGACCACAACATCGACCTCCTCGGCCTCGAAATTCTTGATTAGCAGATTGTTGTTACCGGGGTTGTCTGTCACCTCCTTGACAGTGAGAACCACCATTGCTACTTGGCCTACTCGTATTTTGACAATTTCGTGCTATATGTCCATCTTTTCCACAGTTGTGTCACTTCATAATTTTCATATCGGCCTTACATACACTTGAAACCTTTTTGCCATTTTCTGAATGTCCTTGGGTTTCCCAAATGGCAATTATGCTATCCAAACACTCACACGCGCCATCCTTTGCATCCGTTGCGTCTATCAAATCACAGAAGTAGCACAGTGATTCTGGTAGCGTTTTAACCCATAATGTAGTTTTCCACTTCCCTCGATATCAACGCCTGCACTCTTCAATTCATTAAGAGTTTTCTCAAAATTCATAAAGAATGAACTTGAATCGTCGTATTCTTTCGATCTCATTCGATCCAATTTATTTCTGATACATGTCTGCAATGCTGTAGACTTTTGTAGATACATTCCATTAAATTTATCCAAGATTTCTCTCGCCGTATTCAATTCACCCGCAAACTCCAGTTGCTCGTACGATATGCTGCAGTATATATAATTCATCACATATGAATTCAAATTATTCCAATCAGACCCACTTTCTGTTGTTAACCTAATACGTGATGCCGGTTCGAAGCACTTTTACCATCTCAGATACAGTGAAATTCTCTTTTTCCATATTTTAAAATCACTCCCGTCAAAAATTGGAATACTTGCAACATCACCTCCCGACCATCTCCTGTTTATTTTCTTTTTACACACCTTTTTTATTTTTCCGTTTTGCCTTTTCTCTCAGTAGCATTGTATCTCTAATTATGTTCAGTCTGTATCATTTCTAAGTATGTTTCGCTGTATATCACGCGCTATCTCATATCGCATCATATCCATTTTCACCGTGGACGTGTCGGAAACCGGGGACTGTAGTCATGTTAATAATTGAGGTCCGTAAGCACAAAATAATCGTATTTTCTTTAACAGCATTTATTATTAATATTATTAGGATGAAATTCTCTCATCTGCAGCACTCGAAGTCACCAATAACGCCTGACATATTAACACATTATTACGACGCCACATCTTCCCTCTACTCCCATGCTTCCTGCCACAGGCAATCATGAGTGACGTAAAACGCGCATCGCGGAAGCTTTTCCTACTACCCAAGCTTAGCAGACATCTCACACTATACACACTCATTGACGTAGCTGTGGTCAAAGTTATACATACTTCAACAGTCACTTTCGAAATTCTTCATCAGTGAACAAAGTATTGAAACGGCTACAGTACTGAGATAATGACTGTACTCATAACTATGCTGTCAATTGCTGATAACTTGAGGGACAACGGATCCGTCTTTTGTCATTCTAGAATAGCAATGGAATCGAAATCATCATTGAACAGATAAATACGACGGCTCCAGTTCTCTACTGGTTGATGTACTAGATACCGTGCAGTCAGTTTGAAACACCTCAAGCCATAACCGTACAATACATTGATTATTCTAGAATTGCTTTGAAACTGATATCAATGAAGAAAGATATGCCAAATTTACCACAACATGAAGATGGCTGGACTCAGTAATGCGTTGTCAATTGATAATATCGCGAGGGATAATGGATCTGCATTTGTCGTAATTGAATTGATGTAGAATATACGTCATCAGCGTACAGAATAATCCAACGACAACAGTGCCCTTATATTAGATGCAATACATGCCGTACTTCAACTGCAAAAATGATTATCCTAGAATCAGTTTCGAATACACATCATCAGTGAACAAGGTAGATGAACGGCTACATTACTGTGACGATGATTGTATTCTGCTCCGTGTTATCATCTGCTGATATCTCGGGGGATAATAGATTTGTATTTTGTCATTCCAGGATTGTTACTGAATATGGATCGTCACTGGACAGATTAATCCAACGGTAAGGGTACTCTATGTGCAGGCGTACGAAGTATCGTACAGTCAACTGCAAATATATCTAGCTATTACCGTAGAATAAATTGATTACTCTAGAATTGCTTTGGAACTGTCATTTTTATAGAAAAATGTTATACAACAGTTAAAATATTTTGATAATGGCCGTAATCAGTACTGTGTCTACAATAGTAAACATTTCGATATGTAATGGAACTACATTTCTGGCTCTCGAATTGCAGCGGAATATACATCATCAGTGAACCGATTAATCCGAAGGCAACAGCCGTATGTTGGTAGATGTACCTTTTACCGTACTGTGAACCATAACCGTCAATAGCCATATCCGTAGCATACATAGGTTATTTCAGAAATTCCTAGGCACCTACATCATCAGTGAGAAATGCAGTCCAGCGCTTAAATTACTGCGATGGTGGATATAATCAGTGCAATGTTATCAATTGATGATATATCAAGGGATATTGTGCCTGCGCTTTGACATTCTTAAACTGTTATAGAACTTATATCATCATTGCGCAGAGTAATCCAACAGCAATTGTGCTCTGCCTGTGGATGTACGAAGTACCGTAATTTCAATTGGAAGTACCTCAAGCCATAACCGAAATATACATTGATTATTCTAGAATTGCGTTCGGACTTACATCATCAGTGAACGAAGTAATCAGACGGCTACATTAGTGTGATGATGGCTGTCCTCACTGCTGTGTCGTCAATTGTTAATATCTCTGGGAATTATGGATTTGTATTTTGTCATTATAGCAATGTTATCGGATTTAAATCATCATTGGACGTATTAGTCCATCGGCTACAGAGCTATAATGGTGGATGTACTTAGTATCGCGCTGTCAGTTGGAAATAACTCTA